CAATGAAACTATATTTGTCACAAGACTGCTATTAACACTGCTCATAATCCAATTCAACATGACAGGACTAAACATGTTGAAATTGATCGGCATTTCATCAAAGAGAAGTTAAATAAGGGTTTAATTTGCATGTCTTTTGTGAAATCAAAAGATCGATTAACCGATATTTTCACAAAAGGATATAGTAGTAAAGTTTTTCACCCCATTGTTTGCAAGTTGGGCATGAGGGATATCTATACACCAACTTGAAGGGGTGTGTTACGTTATGTTTTATTTTATAGAATAAGGGTATTTTAGTCCTTGAGTCCATATGTATATATAAACATGGTGTAGTTGTGTAACCTAATACATTACCCTATTTTGATCTTTTTCTCCTATTCTTCTCTGTCTCTCTCTGTCAAACCCTAATGGTTTTACAACTTCACTAGTTGGTTAGATTAAGTTTCAATATCACTAACCAAATTGAATAGTGCAATACGCTAAAAAAAAGTGAAAATTGGCCTATGAGTTTGATTAGATTTATTTTCAGTATTACTAGCCAAATTGAACAGTGTAATACACCTAACATAGTAAAATTAGGCATATTTCACTATCTAAATTGTGACAATGACATATAGTTTTCATTGCAATTGGACAATCAAATTGGCCTTCTAATTTTAATATCACCAGCTACCAAATTTGATAGTGAAATACACCAAAAACAATGAATTAGATCTAAATTCATATAGAGAAGCTATCAAGCACTTACAAAAAGAGAGGGAAGAAACTAATTGACAGTGAAATTCATCCCAAGACAATAATAAGTCGTGGATAGTGAAACACCCACAATTTCACTATCTTGGATAAAGAAACAACTCATTTCACTATCACACCACACAACAATTTTATTATCATCACAAAAATCAAACCACTAAAACTTGCCTCAAACACAAAATCAAAGTTGTATCAATGTAACACTAGATTCTCTTACTTTCGTATTCTTTGAACATAACTGAAGATTACATCGAATATAGAGAGATAGATAGAGGTTTGTGTGTGTGTCAATGACATCTACCACGTGTCTGTCATTAAGTTTAATTTTTACTCCTATTTGAACTGTGCCATTTGGAATTTTGCTCACATATTTCAGAAAAAATTGTAATGGTGATTTGCATCTAGATTGAAATATTTATAGATAACGTGGTTTTGATCCATAACAAGAACAAGAGGGTGAGGGAGAAGAGAAAGGGGAGTGAAGAGAAGAGAGAAAAAGTGTAGAGGTGAAGAAAGGGAAAGGTGGCCTAGAAGAGAAACAAAAAGATATACTAGTAATTAAAAAAAAGGATTCAGTTAGATTGGACTAAAGGCCTTAAAAGTCCCTTAATTTAACTTAATGGCTTAAAAGAAGATAAAATCAGACTTTTGAGAAATTTTTAGAACTGATAAAATAAACGTCTCCCAAATTACTAATCATTTAACTTCCACACAGCCAAACACCCCATCTCATTCGTTGGGACAAGGAAAGTTTTACAAAATATCAACAAACTAGTATAACTAACCAACAAATACATAAAAAGCTCTCAATTCTTCACTCAAAGAGTAAAAACCAAATAAATTGGATATCAAAAAAAAAAACCCAATCAAAAAAATTGTTCCATAAAAATCAGGCATCTACTCTCCTGCTAAGGCATCCATAGAAGCCAATATACGAAAAGCCAACAAACATACAAAATTACACTTCCGCCAGAAAATTTTAGAGCATTACTACATAACTAATATATGCTAAACAAACTCTTTTCCGAAAGGATAATAAACAATTTCATTAGAAAGTATTTGAACATAATCTCCAAGATGTCTCCGTTTTTATACATTCTTTCATTGTTTTCAGCATTTCTACGTTTATTTACTGACAATGAAATGAAAACATTCTTGGCTTTCTATGTCGTGGTAGTGTCGGGCACATATTCAATACGACTAGAAGTGTCCTGAATAGTGAATCTAGTCAGTGGATGTTTATTTTGATCTACTTCAATTTTAATCAAAATTAATATTTATTAGGTTTTATTATTAACATTATTATAAAATATGCTTTGTCTTTAATATATTATATCATTCTGTTATTATCTAAGAAATTTATTATATTATTTTAATTAGTTGTATCCTTACCGTATTCGTGCCCTATATATTCGAATTTTGTCATATCTCTGTGTCCGTATCCATACTGCCTAGGTGCTCATAAAGTAAAAAGCTACTGCTTGGTGTGGCATCAACTCCATCCTTGAAGCACCTCTAGAATGCTGCCAAATGCCATAAACATAGTATATTTACCGTACTTGAGTTTTCCGGTGTTTCCTTGGGATTGGATTCCGCATTCATAAAGGCTAGGAGAGGGCTTAGTGTAGCCCAACCAATACACCAAAAAGGAGAAACTATCAAATCCTTAACATGCCTAATTATTTGATAAAGAAAGATTAAAAGGAATTATTATTGTGTGGGAGGTATTCCTCATAACGACATTTTCCACAACAAATTAATAAAGCAAAAGTAGAAGGCAGTATATACATGGAGGACTTCAAGCTCTAAACAAGCCAAACATTTAAGCCTTACATCAGTTAATGCAATTGCGAAGAAAAATCCAAGCACACAATTATGTATATAAGATGGTGATTGATAACTGTCAACAAGGTGACTGGCCATGAATCCTTCTTCAACTTTGTGGAATCCAAGAGTGAGTGTGGCGAAGAAAATGCCCAAAAAACAGATGCTTTAACTTAGTCAAGAAAAAATCAACTAAAAAAAATTTCTTTCATAGTCATGCTCAAGGGGAGAAAATGGCATAGTCATCTATAATATAAAATAGGGCGACTTCAACAAGCTCATCCTACAGTCTCAAATTCATTCATCCAACGGTCAAGAAATTACCTTTTTTTTTCCATTAATATTCCCCCCCAACCGGTCAACGATTATGACTAAATTTAAACACATCCTATGATCTCAAATTTATTCATCCAAAGGTCAATAAATTGCCATTTTTTTCTTAATATTTTTTTCTCAATCAGTCAATGATAACAGCTAATCTTGGAACACAGGACATTCATTAACATTATAATTAAATGAGTTAAATTTGCCATTAATATCATATATATTGTGTAACAATTTGAATTTTTATAAGACATAATAACAACATTTTGATTAAAAAAAAACTCATCAATTTAACAAATAAAAAAAACAAGGGCACTACTTAACACATTTGTATTGAATATAATTAATTTTAATTTTATTTATTTAATTAATTATCTCAAACTAACATGTCTTACACATATCTTGAATTAAAAGTTCAAGACTAGTTTTTTTTATCTCTTAAGAAAATCCAACGCTAATATATTCTTATAAATTAATAATTTATACTAATTAAAAAAATAATATTTTATAAATGATATTTGTAGAACTTTTTTTGATAGAACATATTTTGGCGATATACTTTTTGATAAATTAGATTTTTAATTTATATTAAATTTGACTCGATTTAATTATATGTATATAAATTAATGTTCAATTTTGATTACATGTATATAAATTAATATTTTTTTAAGTCAATTCTATTATATTTCGTGAATTTATCTATAATATAAAATATAAAAGACTTTAATAAGTTCATTTGACTGTCTCAAATAAACCTATCCAACAACCACCAACATCTCTCTAAAAATCATTCACATTAAATTTTACCTCCCTTTTCTCACTCTTCACTCTGTTTCTCTCTCTCTCTCTATGTGGTATTGGCGGATAGAGGAGGAGTGTAGAACCACCCTGATATATATTTTTTTAGTTATATATGTTTTATATATTTTTTTTAGATATTCTTAATTGGGCCCACCGTAATGATATATGAAAAAAAAATTAATTTGGTCAAACAAGTTAGGTACTAGAACAAAAAAAAAAGTCCATACCAAATCTGTTAAAATTAGTAAACTAAAATTGATTCCTTAGAGTATTGGTATGATTTGTTGGAGCTTCCTTTGATTCAAAAATTATGAAATATATAGCCAAAAATGAGTAAAATATAGAATTTGTAAGAATATTAAATATTATAGAATATTACTTTTATTTGTGTCAATTCTATAATATTAAATAGGACAGACTTCAATAAGTTCATTCGACGATCTCAAATAAACTCATCTACCGGTCTCCAACATCCCTCTCAAAACTATTCACATTGAATTTCTACCTTCTCAAATCCATCATTTCTCACTTACGTTACACCATGCCTTCAGGTACGGATTACCCCTAGTCATAACTACTATAATACTGCACATTGTCTGGAACATGGGTCAAATTGGTACGTGATATGGGTACTGATACGGGGACGAAACCTTCTCCGACATGCAGTGCCAGAGACTAAATCTCAATTGGTGCGTTATTTTGGGTCATGGTTCATATATAAATTAAATAAATTATACATTCACATCCATATAGTTTATAAACAAATACATTATATTTCTAATAAGAGTTCCAAAGCCAAACATAAACTAAGACAACGTACTGACTACTAGTTACAAACAATAAAAGGTAGCAGTTGCATATTTGAATTACAAAAAAATTCAACTCACAACTCAAAATATGACTTTAAATATCAACAATTTAAAGAAAATGTGATTACAGTTTGGGTTAGGGTAACGTTCAGGGATTACATTAATCGTGGGGTTGATTGGGGTTTAAGTTACAATTTGGGTGATTTGGGTCGCAAACTCACCCAGTTTTGAATCTGTTAGAGTTCTTGAACGGGACTTTTGCTATTGTCAAGAATGAGAGCAGCCATGGAAAATAAATAAATTCCAACCAGCAGAGACCAAGAGAATTACACAGCAACTGTCCAAGCACTAAGGCCAAAACACAACCACACAGCAAGTCTCAAAAAACCCAACAAGAAAACACCACAAAGCAAGAGAGATGGTCTATTTGCAAGCCACTAGAGGAAGACAGCGTCAAGCACAACACCAAAAACACCACAAAGGAAAACGATGTCAGAGGAGGTCACCACAGAGCAACAGAGATGGTCTCTTTGCAAGCCACCAGAGGAAGACGATGTCAAGCACAACACCAAAAATAAGGAACCCAAGCCTCACAGCAGCCCTTCACAGTGTCCGAACCCAAACAGTCAAGCCAAAGAGTACATACAGCACAGCCCACACCTTCAATCCACAAAAAACCACTCAACAGGGCGTGGGTCAACCACAACTGACCACCTAGGCCCTAGTCGCACCTCTCAGGTGTGGAATGAGGTGTCAAAACAGCTCCGATTGGTCTGGGAGAGCAGATTGCAAAATCGAAGCCTTTTTTCAGAAAATCATTTGAAAATAGAAACACAATCCAAATGGCTTCAAAAAATTGGGCAAAAATTATCATAAAGACCAGCAAGCCGGTCGATCTTCCTGGCATATTCAATCGTCAAAGAAGGCTGACATCATCAAGTTGTCACTGTAACCGATGATGACATCAGCAACAGACAGGATTTTTTTCTTTTTCTTTTTTTTTTTTTGGGTTGTGAGGTTTTTTTTTTTTTTGTTTTGGGCAAGATAATGTGCTCTGATACCAAGTTGAATCCGTAACACAAGTATTAGGGTTTGAGAAATAAGGAGAGAAAAGAAGAAGAGAGAAGATGGCTGAAGAATAATAATCTTGAAGTGCCAGCAATGTGCCCTACACTCTCGATTTTATATCAGACAGTGATTGAGAATAATTATACTACTACCCTTACACTGAACCATTATAACTAATATATATAAAAGAACTCTAACGGAACCGTGTGGCTGTTTTGAGGATGATTGGGTATCACGGTTTCCGTATCTATGATATTGTCAAGCCATATTGTGTAGGATCACCAAGTGAACAATGAGCCTTAAATCTCTCAATTTGGCAATAAAACCCAGTAACAGGTGCACCACCAAGAGCAGATCCGAAAAGATCATTGCCAAAACGTATTGCATCCACCACATCACTCCAAACACAACGACCCCCTCAACCACCAAAAGAAAGGATAGAAATGTTGCAAATGCTAGCCAGCCAAGAAACATCTACCATAAAGAAGCCTTTGCACACACCCTATCACAAAACATCCCAAACCCATCCAAACCCCTAAAAGGTTCGAAAAAAAAAACAACAAAAAAAAGTGTTGGAAAGAAAAATGCTTGAAAAGATAGAATAATAATAGAATGAAGTATAATCACCTAACAGTGTTCAGTGCGGTATCAAACTATGACAGCTAAACCAGCACAGATAAATGAGAAAATCATAACAATGTTGTTAGGGTGTTTTAAAGCACCAATAACCATTTTCAAAAATCAAAGCTTGATATGATGTCTGTATTCACCTGCAGAAAGGCCGGCGTAGGAGTAGTTCAGCAAATATACAAGCTGCAGCCCAAACATCCACAACAGGACCATATTGTTTTGCACCAAACAACAGCTCAGGCGCTCTATACCATCGAGCAAAAACCTAATCAAGGTAAATAGATCTCAAAAACAAATGGTGATGCAGAAGGTTACATTAATCAGTTTCATAAGAGAACAGGACGTCACGAAAGATTTCAACAAGGCAATCACGTATTTCCACCCTTTCCATCAGAACACGTAAAATGACCCAAATATTGATTTATTCACGGAAGAGTAATATTCACAAGACATGGGAGAGCTGCAGGCGGCTGTGACAGAACTCTCAATTCTGCAAGAACCGGGTCCAAAGCATAAGAGAATCTTTTCCACTCTAGGTTCAATAATCTACCAATCAATACCCATATAACCTCAAATTTTGCAATCATATGTGCAAGCAAGAAAGCCTAGCAGGATTGGTCAACAAAGTTGATCACCAATTGTTAGAAGCAAAATACATACTTGTTACTATGCAAGGCCCAACTTCCTGGTGCCTTCCAACACATGTCTCTTATGAAATTATTTGTCCGCAATGCACACAAATATAACAGACAACATTGCCAATATGACATT